GATCTCCAGTAATTACTGGGTGCAGGATACGTCTTAGGTTTGGTGTTGCCAGATATTTGTTGAAATTACCTGAAAGCCAGAAATATTGCAGCTAAAGAAGAAGATTAATTTGTGTTTTGGGAAAAAAAATTGTGCGTGGATCCCGTTTTACCCCCTTAGGGGTGGAGTTTCGTAAAATCCTTTGTTAGCGGAAGCCTACGTCATAACATCTACCTGCATGCCAAATTTCAGCCCGATCAGTCCAGTGGTTTGGGGTGTGCGTTGATAGATCACTATGTCAGTCAGTCAGTCATCTTTGAGTTACAGTTAGATAAGCACAACACGCGCCTAATAAATAAAATAAATAAATAGTGAAAAACAAAAAGATTTCCCGTTTTTAATCCTCACAAAAAGATTAGCTTACATAAAAGAACAATCGTTCATTTCGTTTCAGCCAAACGACGTCCACTGCTGGACAAAGGTCCCCCCCAAGGATTTCCATAACAACCGGTCCTGCACTGCCCGCATTCAGGCTCTTCCCGCGACCTTCACACGATCGTCCAAAAGAACAATGCAGTTGTGTAATTAGGAAAAAAAAATAGATAAAAAGATTATTTATTATTAGGTCTTTTGATTTTCGAAGCTTGCATAGGTAAATGTATGGAGGAAATCAGAGCATGGCAACACCCAAGAGAGGGAATGGATGTCGGAGCGAACAACCATAATTATCGATGTATTGTCGCAGTTAATTGTAGTAATAACTTACTAACAACCGCGGTTTATATTAAAATTAGTTTATACTATTACGAATATTGTGTTATATTTTTTTAAATCATTTTTGCACAATAAAAATGTATGGGTTGAAGGCAAACCTTATGACATAAGGTAGTTTATCGTTAGGTCTTTAAATTGTTTTTAATCATATGCCCAGTTGTCTTTGGAAAGCAGCTTTAAGAATAAGTTAAACTTATGTACTGATTTTTATGACATACAAATATTAAATAAACTAATAGGGGTATTTAAATGCAAACTCTTTGGTTGACTCACACACCCTTAAGGAAAAAAAAGCAAAAGAAGAAACATTTATAGAACCAAAATTTTTTTTCATGAGGTCACAATTTCCTTCCTCAATGGTGTAATTAAAATTTGCCTATTACATTGTGTAACAAATAAAACTTACGTAAAAAGCTCCAATACTACGCTACTTGTCAGTAACGTGTCACCGTTGCTTCATCATCAGAGCTTAAAGCTTCAGCCTAGACGCAGGCGGTCTTGATTACGTCACAACATCCGGCACAGGTCAAAGGTACTAGAGATGCACAAAAAATATATTAGACTTACAACAGGTTTCAATGTAGAAAGCGTAATGTACCTACTAAGTATAGTATTGAAATATGTAATTAACTAGCTTATGCCCGCGGCTTCACCCGCGTGAAATTTAGTTAGTCATCGTCATAAATAATAGTCTATATGTTATTCTGGGTTATAAAAATAATACTGTAAAGTTTCATCAAAATCCGTTCAGTAGTTTTTGCGTGAAAGAGTAACAAACATCCAGACATCCACACAAACTTTCGCATTATTTTATAATATTAGTAAGATTAATTCTTGCTATAGAGTTTTATGGCTAATTACATTGTTAATTCTGATTGATAGTTAAATAGTGACATGGTAGTAGGTGATAAAAATGTTAAAGCACATGTTTTACGTGATTATTGCAAAATCATTCCTTTTACAACAGTTACAGGGGCAAAACAAGGAATGTCCCTAAAATTCAAAAGTATATTTTTGATGGCAATATTTTCGATTTCCCGATTATTTTTATTTGAAATTATACAAAAAGCGTAATAACAAGTAATAGTCATAATTATGTATTGATATTACTTAGTAGTTTATAATTTTAAGTGACACATAAGAATATTTTAAACAGACAAAATTCCACGCCAGCGAAGCCGCGGGCGGAAAGCTCTCAGGATAAATCGTCAGTTATTGGACATTTTGACATATTTCCCATGCTGAAACTGTCAATGTGCTATACCAGGAGTTATTCTCGGATAAAAGTTTGGTCGAATCGGGCCTAAGTATAATTTATTTCATCTATTTTTTAAATTATTAATAAAAATATGATATTAATCAGTATGTACAACACAAAACAACACAACACATATTTACAAACAAGGTACAAAATCGAGTGAAATTAATATATGCCTAAAATGTCCTTATTTTTTTTATTTGATATAAAATAAAAGACGTAGATGTCTACTGTTACTGAATCAAAGCTAAAAGTTATTCGACAGTACGTTGGTGAGAGACATTGCCTTTATTTTACTTGCCGCCTTACTGCCTTTATTTATTTTACATCTTGTTTCTACTAACATAGGTTTTAAGTGCAATTGTTACTAACAAACTGAGTCCTGGTTACTTGAATAAAGAATAATTTATTATTATTACTAGCTTTCCGCCCGCGGCTTCGCCCGCGTGGAATTTTGTCTGTCACAGAAAAACTTTATCGCGCGCGTCCCTGTTTCAAAAACCGGGATAAAAACTATCCTATGTTCTTTCCCGGGACTCAAACTATCTCTATGCCAAATTTCATAAAAATCGGTTGCGAGGTTTAAGCGGGAAAGCGTAACAGACAGACAGACAGACAGACAGACAGACAGAGTTACTTTCGCATTTATAATATTATTAAGTTGGGATTGGGATTATTTAAATATGTAACGCGTTGATGTCTTGTCAGGAATAATAACATTTGTTTTTTCCTTCTTCTGTTTAGAGGGTTAAAACGTACCTAGTTTAATTAAGTTTTAATAGAGAAAAAATATCCGTTAAAAGGAAATTACTTATTAAGGAGTAATCATCATCATCATCATCATCATTTCAGCCACAGGACATCCACTGCTGAACACAGGCCTCTCCCTATGATTTCCACATCGCCCGGTTGGTAGCGGCCTGTATCCAGCGCTTTATGAGGTTTACGAGGTCGTCGGTCTACCTTGCATTAGTAATAATTTAACACTAGAGTACACGCGTGGCCTACTATAGTAGACCAGGGTAACATTTTACGCTATAACTTTTTAAAAACTTGCGCCAGAGAGCTGGCATTCCAGGAAAGCCTCGTTTAGTAAATTTGTCAATGAGCCAGTAAAGCTTGGGTCGCTAGTCTGCGTATTTTTTTAAAATTGGCCGTCAAAACTGCGAATCTACTCAAAAGCCCGAAATCACTCGACAAAAAAAATATGGAAGACTTGCAAAAAATGGATTTACCCCATGTACCAGGTAGTAGAAAGTCTTGAATACTATGAAAGATAAAAAAACAAATCATATTTTTTCAGTAAATAATTTATTTGCTAACATGGATCTCTGAGTGCAATTTTGGTCCAAAAAAATTACAAATTATAAATCCATTTATAATGTTTGATCCCAAATAGTTTTATAAACAAACTTTGATTATAAAAGAAGTATAATAAACACTTTTATTATTTACATAGTAATTATATTCATAAATTGCTTACAAACTGATTTACAGTGATTTTAAATTGGCTTACCAGAGTAGGCCGCGCGTGTATTGGTGTAAAAAAAGGGGCGCGTGTACTGTAGTGTTAAACAAAATAAAGAAAAGGACCACCCCTACTCTTTAAATGTCGTATGTGGTAGCTAAGGGAAAAATATCCCAAGTTGAGATTTCAAACGTCTAACTTAACCCGGTCGACCAGCGTAGGGAATGGAAAAACTCTCGTTCCCCTGCTGCAACTCCTGTGTAGCCAGGATCTACAGATTGACCGCCAATAAAATGCCAACCAGTGAAGGTCAAGTTTGTCCCGGGGAAAGTTAAACTGTCATTGGACTCGCAACGAAATTAATCTGAAGAATATAGGAGGAGCTCGAAGTTAAGGTTTAGGTTCGACTTCCCTCCAGTGCAAAACGGATGACAGGTGACAAAACAAAGGTTATAGTATCCTTCAAGAAAAGATATGTAATCTTCATCCTGCAGTCAAAACTATTATTATATTCAAAACATTGGAATTCAGGTTGTGAATCTAATTCTGCAAAAATGAGCCCACAAATAATGCACATTCACATAAATCAAAAGATTGTGCGCATATTTAATCAGCCCATTAAGATTGATTTTATGCTAATATTAAAAACGTCACTAGTGTCACAATTTAGCATAATCTATATTTTTAAATAATTAAATCAAGTCAACCTTAGACATTAATTACATCTAACAAACTGATGACATTTAGCTGGTTTTATTGCTGTTACTGATATACTGTTTTTGAACAGTAATGCTTAAGGATGTAGAAATATGACTGTCTAGATTGGTCCTTCGACTGAAATGGCCTAATGCTAATTCATAATGTTACTGCCTTCCCTATTTTATCTCAAACATCTCCTTATTGAGTTGTCTGGATGATATCACCTTATAGCGATAAGCTTTGTTGTTACAGTTTCTGAGATTTTATAGAGCCTCTATCTATGCAATAAATGTACCCCGAAATACGGGTCACTTTTCAGACACTTATCATAATATCTGGGAGTCTGAAACGTACTGGAGTTAAAAAGTTTTTTCACCATTTTTTTATCATGTGTGTCACTTTTAGAAATCGAACCCTGTACAGCAACAGTGTCCCACTCTCTCAGGGTCTCTCTCCCTAGACTACATTTCATTTTTCAGTATGATCAATCATCATACTGAAAAACGTAGTTAACTACGTGTCCATAAATAACTGCTAACCAAGTTTTTAACTTTACATTTTTGAATTTAGTTAAATGAACCAATTTATTTGACAATTGAATCGACTTTAGCTACATGTACAAAAATAGTTAAACTATGTTGATTGTTGAACCCTGCGACATTCACAAATTGACCAACCTAGACTGGTAAAAGGCTGATCCCAGGTCAAAAATTGGCCTAAAAATATCATTCACCTTACGCAAAAAAATGTTCAAGTTTGATTCACATTTATTAAGAAAAGTAGCATCATTATGTAGTAGAATGAGTTTTGTAACTATTGCTATGGCTGGTATATATATAAGAGGGGATCGTCAGTCTGTACATTCGTAGTTTAAACTCCGACCCGACAGAACATATCACATAGCAATGATGAAACTGGTGAGTTCTTATAAGGTTGCGTGGTTATTAGATAGGTAGATCGACAAGATTAATATTGGCATTATAAAATCGGATGGGCGTAACGTAATAAATGGGGATCGGTCGCGGTCTTTTTCTAAACTCTAAGGTCACTTGAGCAATTGTTACTAATTTTTGAATTTATTTTTAGCACATTTCCTGGCTTTGTCAACTAATTTTATTGTGAAAAAACATGAACTTCATTATTTAACATTGTTTTAACAACGAGGAACTATAGTGTTATTGTTCATTAACAATTTTACTTCAACCTCTGTTGTAATAATTAATTTAATTAATCTAGCTTCACTTTCTTCTTCAATTCTCAAATTAACTAACACTTTTTGATATTACTTCGTTAACAATAGTCGCTTGCCTTTTTTTAAAACCTAACTATCAATTTAGCAGTCGGCTAAGAGATTGTATGCTCATTAGCATAATTTAAGAACAATAGGCGGTGGGTGCGACAGTGCTTATTTCTCTTTCATCATCCTTTGGGAACTTTTGGTAATGACGTATTGAAAGAATTCATGTTTTTGTATTTGCATAGAAACTGCTTTATTAATGTTTTCTTATTAGTGAAGTTTCTAAAGAATTGGATTTGACAAAATAATCTGTTGGTACAATTTTTGGGTCAACTCTTTTGTGATTATCTTTTGCAAATAACTATAGATTAATCTCATTGTTTAATGAATAATCATATTATTTGTCATCTTAATGTCTCTATTTTCCTAGCTTATTAACCTTTTTCGTTTGCCTCTAAATATTATTTTATAAGTATTCAATTTTTTTTTGCAATGTCTTGCTCCATCAATGTATCTTTCAAAGCCAAAATAATTTATGAAATCTGCCGATTCTTCATTTAATAGGCAGTTTGCAGATTATATAATGTATAATGAAAAGTATAAATGACATTTGGACACCTAAATACATAATCATTCAAGTATCATTGATTATATTTACTTACATAATAATTGTATTGCCTGCGGCATTGCTTGATACAGTTTATCATCGGTATAATTTGTATGTTTGTTAACTGTGTGACATATTAATAATATGGATGTTTGCCAATTGTTCTTATAAAATTCAATCGTATTTCCTGTCACCTACTGTGTTTAGAAATATTTTCTTTAAATGAAAACTGGAAAATGTCACACGATGACATGACCTAGTGTGATAGCAGCCTTTAGTCTCTACCAAAACTTTTAAACATTCAAAAGCTTTTAACGAAGTGGATAATCTAAAAATCTTGTCTGTTTTTGTCTGTACAAAATGCATATTAAGTCCGATTTTCACATACCTATACCTACCATATCCTACTAAGCAACCCTTTTAATTATTATCTGAAGCACACCTTAAGGCTTCGTTGCACCACCTAACGTGACTATAACGATAACAGGTGTATTTTGTATGGAGTTTGACAGATTTTTGACGTTTGTTTTGATGACTTACCCAGCCTTAGTGAGCCTTTCGTTCTCTGCCAGCCCTCAATCATATCTAACCTCTAACATGGTCATTCCAGCTCCTCATCACCGCTCTCTTCGGCTTCGCCGCCGCCGGCTACGCTGCCTACCCTGAGCAGTCGAGCAGATCTCAAGCCTCCTTCGAGAAGAACGCCAGAATAATTGCCCTGGACTCCGACGTGAAGGAAGACTCCTTCAGATACAACTACGAGACCGAGAACGGGATCAAGGCTGAGGAACAAGGACATGAGGTATGTAATCTTTGTGGTATAGGAAAACTAGGTTATTAAGACCTTAAACAAGACGTAACTTGATATAGTTGTAGTTGTAGAAGTTTGAAGCGATCAGAGCAGAAAAAATACAACCGTCTCGTATGTGATTTCCAAAAAAGACAATCCCGAGAACAAGATAAATTTTTGCTTTCAGTCAAAATTTCCAAAGTGAGTCTCATTAAAATTTAAAAACGCCTTATTTTGAGCTAGTAACAATTAACACTTGAGTGAGCATTACACTTGACCTACCCTTTGACCTAAAGAAAAGCTTCTCTTGCTAAAGTATACATTTTTTTAAAATAATAGCCATGAATGTGTGTCTGTACTGTCTGTATACAACGCTTTCCAAAAACTTGTATAATAAAAAATAAAACACTAACCCCCTTACTAATAAAACTTACACGCTCGTTGAACAGTGTTTTAAAGTGACGTTTAGTATGGAAATGTCATTTTAAAACAGTGTTCAAAAACTGTGTAACTTTTTATTAGTAAGGGGTTAATAATCTAAGCCATCGTTTTACTTTTATGAACAAAGCCAAGTTATTTCATTTATTTCAAAGAACCCAGCAAGATATTGCTTCATAGATTTGAACTCCGATGCTATCAATTCACGAAGGTGCCGTCATAATGGATGTCTCCATTGGCTGTTCCGATGTTGGCTAACACCTTCCTATATCAAGATTAGGCATCTTCCTACTATCAGTTTTATTTTGTAGTAAAATCGACCCTATTGCAACTGAATAAGAGCCTACAGTGTTAAGATTGACGTGCATACATTAGGCATTTTCTTGGTCACGCGATCGGTGGGAAAATCGATTGTTCCATGATTTCATTCATGATTTTTATGTGAATGGTGTGAGTAAAAACTGAAAATATGTCGACAATGATAAAAAAAATAAATTTATTAAGTGATTTGAGCAATTATAAGCATGCTAAGAATTTAATTGTTACAAAAAACTCAAATATGGTGAATTAAGATAAGTTTCCTTTTGCTCCTTTTACCTTTAAACAATCTAAAACGCTCAGGGACTAAACTACTTTATAGGAAATCCTAGCACTTAGACCAATGTATCGGATCTAATAGATGTAAAGCATCGGTCACACTAGCTGTGACCTTACGAAGATAACATGGATTCATGTCTGAGTTGCGAAGCATTTCACATTAATTTTGAATTGCTTGTAGAATTAAAGAATATTTGTAAAATCCCCAAAAACTAAATATATAGGCCAAGAGCTTCCTCGTTGTGGATAAAAAAAAAAATATTTTAACCTGGACTAACCCCAGTGAAGTTATTTACATAATATAGGAACTTTAAGTATAAAGGATCGGAAAACTAGAACATAGGCTTAGTAGGTCAAGTCTCCTAGACTAGAGCGGCCTGTCTAGTGTGTCTCCAGCCTAAATGGCCTGTACAATCGCTGGAAAGGGCAGTGACCATCTCAAAAGGTCAAGCTCTTATGCAAAATGTTACCTTGTAATATACGAGACCATCTCTAGCGGGTAGTGTTGTAACGGACGACAGTTTTGATCGTATCGACTCGATAAAGTATTTTTTAAACGTTGACCAGTAATTGATTTTTGAAACTGAAATGTTATTGCAGGATTTTGTAAGTTCAGAGGACTACGAAAAGCTCTTTAGTTACTTAGTTTTTTTTTGTTCTTTTGATAAGGTATTCAAAACATTGGATCTTAAAAGTCTTGTTAAATACATAGATGTTGATGTTGATAAAATCAATGGTTTTTACAGAATACAGAAAACACTAATATTTTAAGCAGTTTTACAGCTTTTATTTTCTGATAAATAAGTAATATCTATCGATCTTGAGTTCTACATACCAATAAAGGCTATTGTAATTTGATTCTTATGTACAGAAATATGAATAGTCAAATTACGATAGCAAAAATAAAAATCGATACTATTTTAACCGTGAATGTCACCACACATCACTAAATTGACTTTTTGCTCGATTGACCTAGAAATACGATAAAGTATGTGTCACAACTGTGTTGATATTTTGTGGTCTATGAATTACTTATGAATTTGAATGTCATTATTAGGTGAAGAAAACTTATTATCATAATTATCATCTTAATCCGATTATAATGAAGATTTATACTTCAAACAAAGTTATATTTTTTAAGAAAAAACTAACTAACTAAAAGTAGGACTCTGTCTGTTGACTTGCCTGCCAAAACCACTGCTAAAACTATGCTTGCTTAAGTGAAGCAGCAAATCGAACGCACAGCGTTGAATTAAGCTCTGTGAATACTTCCTGTGCGTCCATGCGCACTGTGAGACCTCATAGTAATGTTTGTGAATACGGGCCTTAGATGCAACATTGAATACACATCATTAGCCATAGGATAGTTTTCATCCCAGTTTTTAAAAAGAAAACGCGCGCAAACGTCTGTGATAGTCAAAACTCACGCGGGCGAAACCATGGACAAAGGCTAGTTAAAATATAATCTATAGGCCATTGTTAGCTTTGTATAACATCACATAACAATGCAACTGGAGTTTTGTCATTGTAATTAAGCTCTCAGTCTAACAAAATTAGCTTTAGCGTTATGTAATTGATTGTGTAAAGATGATCAAGCCAGCTCTAGGCAGATGGGAAAGTCATTGTTACAGTAACTGGTGACCATAAAGAAATATTTAATTATTAACTTGTAACATTTTTAAATATTAGGAATAACTTTTACTGTCATTTCTAAGAAAATAGAAAATCTAAAAAGTCAACATGAGTACATATTAGTATGTTTTGAAATATGCTACATTATTATGCTCATTAAATTGAGTGAACTCAATTGAGTCAAGTCAGGTGTTTCATATTTGATGGTGTTACTACAGACGGACAAAAAGCTACTTATGTGAAACTATAGTTTTTACCATGACCAATCCACGGTAGCTTGAAGATTATAAACTTTATACTCTAACGATTTTGACATTAAGTTTAAATAAACTGTATTGTGATGCCATGTGAAGCTGTCAATGTAAGGTTTCCAGACTTCTGGATCAGTCACTCGATCTCATGTAGTCTCTGTGTGCTGAATGTTCTAATTAAATCCGTGGTAATCTTCGTGGTCTTTTCCTTCTTACGCTCCAAACTCCAACAAAAACTTGCTTGTGTAATGAGTAAGGTAATATATGCAACTCAGTACATTTTTTTTTAATTATAAAAAAGCTACCATTTAAAGAACTTTGTACATACCATAGTAGAGCACAAAACATCAATCGTTGATTTAGATCTTGTAAGTGGTAAACAATGCAAAGTTCTAAGTTATAGATAAGCAAACGGGACTATTCCCATCTCTCGTTCCCAGCGCTGCAAATCCTGTTTAGCCAGGATTTACAGCTTGACCGCCAATAAAAACCCAACAAATGAAGGTCAAATTTGTCCAGGGCGATTATAGACATGCAGCCATAGTTTGTATATCTAATAGTTTCAATACATATTTTTAAATGCCCCTTTTTGTCTTCCAGGCTGACGGTATCGAGGCTCAGGGTGGCTTCCAATACACCGGCGACGACGGCCAGGTCTACTCCATCAGCTACGCAGCCGGCCAGGGTGGCTTCCAGCCCCAGGGTGCTCACCTCCCCACCGCCCCCCCAGTACCCGAGGAAATCCTGAAGGCGCTGGAGCAGAACGCCCGCGATGAGGCCGCTGGCATCGTCGATGATGGTGAGTGACAAATTAAGTTAAAAGTCGTATAGAAGAGACTTCTGAACTCTACGAAGATCGTTCGTTTCTACCAAAAATGTACATGGCTAAGGATGAATTCGACCAAACAAGAGTAAATCGTCAGTTTGTAAGAGTAAATCACATTTTGACATATTTCCCATACTTAAACTGTCAATGTGCCAGTTATACCAGGAGTTATTCTCGGATAAAAGTTTGGTCGAATCGGGCCTTGGTCTTAGACCAAGGAAGAAGACTTGGAAGGGACTTCTGAACTCCACGAAGATGGATCGTTTCTACCAAAAGATTTGCAGTGTCGAACTCATTATTATTATGCACCCTACCATTAAATTATTAGTATTTTGTACCTTCACTCAACTCAATTTATCATCATTTTTGGTGATTTATCGTTAGATATTTATTATAATGTTTTGTAGATACATTTAGTTATTTATTCGGTATAGTTTTCATGGAAATGTAAAACTAAATACATTCAGTTTTCCTATTGTGAATCACTAAAGAGTAATTTTGCTTTTTTGTTATTACCTATTTTTTATTTCATATAAAATATCTTCATAACTTGTTAAAATATTGTGCTAATGCAACTTTTTAACATAAAACAGTTTTCAAAACATTCAATTGTTTCCAAAGAACATACAAAAGATCATCAGTCATCTAAAGCAGCGAGAATATTCTCGAAATGTCCAATCCCACGCTAGAAAGGCTCCATCCATTACAATCGTGTTTCAAAATCCTGATAAATTGCATCCCACACCTTTAGCGGTAAAACTCGCAAACACTTACAAATTGAGCCTCGAATTGCCGTGATCTGGTGTGGCGAAGGAAGCATAAAATTTAACGATACGATAGGTTAAAGTCAGTATTTTCAGCCATACTAGAATATTTTGATTCGCTTTGCCAAACACGCAAAGTTTCATTTAATTATGGATAAAAAGTTAAATAACTTTTTTCTCAGTTCACAAATAAAACATACCAATTTTGATATTGTTTTTCAATAATGAAAGTATTCAATTTTTTTTATTATAGGTACTAACTTACAGTATAGTATTTTGTAATTCCATTTTCACAAAGTATTATGCTAAAATCAATATTTATTAGGTATGTTTGCTTACGTGACTGAGCAATACTTAGTTAATTAATAATTAGATACATCTTGACAGTGTAATTAACTTACAATGTTTCCGCAAGCTCTAGGAAATTATGCAAAAGCTTAATGAAGTAAACTCTATCTTTACTATACATAATATGCTAATTTAATATACTGCAGATGTCAATTCACATAGTAAATAATGCATATTGCAATGCTTGAATAAGTGTAAATTTTCAATGGAATGAAAAAGTCTTGGGATCAATTTCCACCTGAGGTTATTTTCCAAACTTACAGAAAAAACTTTTACAAACTCTGCAATTAACTGATGTAGGATGCCTGATAGAAACGTTTCATAATTCTGGTCATGTATAAATTAAATTCAATTTATTGCTGACTTTATAGATAATCTGTTCGCTTAACTTATGACCTATCTACCCTTCTAATATCAATTACCAACAGAAATATCGTAAAAGATCAAATTTATAGTACGCAAAGCTAGCCGCTGACATTATTGCGTTAACCTTCCGCTCTAAATATAGCACTTAAGACATATACAGTATGTTTGCTTTTGCCACGCCCATTGTAAGACCGTAAGATCTATCATCCATGAAACCATTTTGCGTGTTTTGCAAGTTCTTGGAAACCTAGGTTCTAATTTTAGTGCGGTCTCTACAATCTTGCTACAACTAACTTTAAGGTTGATATTTGCTTGCTCAGTTGATGAATTAACTTGGCAAAACATAATGCAGTGTTTTGAGAACAAAACGTAGTGATTACAGTGTTGTCCGACAATTGTTTGTAGGTGAAGGGAAGGTTCACAGTATGGGAGGTCATATGAAGTTTTACGCGTATTAAAAATAGATTAGAGCGTTTATACGCCTTGATTTCAATTTTGCGCATCATTATTCCAATTTATGCTTTTAAAATCAAGGATGGCCATTTTTTTATTTTGCAAGCTTTTAATTTGGTTTAATTAAGCGTGTCTTTAGTTATTACAATGTATGACAATAGAGAAGTTAAGTTTCACTTATGTTTCATCAAAATTCGTCCAATAGTTTTTGCATGAAAGAGTAACAATATCCATCCATCTTTTCTCACAAACCGAATTTAAATATCAGTAGAGATAGTATAAAAATACTGGTAGTGTCTGGTAGTTATTTAGATTTTATTTATTTATTTGAACTTAAATGCACATAAAACATTGTACATAAGGCGGACTTAATAATAGATTAAAATAATGTGACAGTTTATGTATGTATGTTACAGTTAAACCCAGTTTTCTCTAGTTAAAACTAGTTTTTCCTAACATCTGACTAAAAATTTGTATCATCAATTCCAGGTACCTACAACCCCGGCAAATACGGCGACGCCAGCGCCTCTGCCGGTTTCGCTCAGCAACCATACGCGCGTGCGCAAGCCTCCGCGTCCGCCGGCTTCAGACAGAACTACAAATACTAATTTAGTTTAACTAAACGTAAGACAAACGATCGATTGCACTGAAGAACTGAGTAAACATTTCTATTCTTCTTTTGTAAGAAATGGTTAATTAAAAAAATTGTGGAAAATGTGTTAGAATCTTCCATTGAAGTTTACAAGGTTTGCCATAGGTGATAAAGTTGTATGTAAGTAATTGTTAAGAAGAAAGAAACTCCTTAGTAAGCTATTGGATAGCTTGTAAGACTTTTTTCAACAATTTGAGTTTTCTAGTTATCCATTTTTTGCTTTCACCATTTTTGTCTTATTTTTCTGTTTGTTGACATCTTTTACTTATAATGTACCTGAACTATGTACTACTATTGAATTGACACAATACAGAATAGTGTATCAATTCAATAGTATAATAATACTCAATGTGTACGGATGTTTTGTTTGTATCGATCATTTGCTATAGTCATAATGGTCCAGTGAGATGATGAGGAGCACGAGTATTTATTCTATGAATAAACAAAGGAATTATCTTTTTATAAAACAGTTGTTTTTGTTTACCCAAATTTCAACCCATTTACTGAGCATTTATTGGTCATTATCATTGTCATCATTGCATGCATTACTTGTTTGTGTAAAGTTGTGTTGTTGGTAGATCTTTTTCAATAAATAATAATAATAATAATTTAAGCTATGTTAAAATCTTTCGATTCTAATACTGCTTCGATCTTAAACAGAAGCTCTTTCAATTCTTTCAAATGTTCACTGAAACTTTGATCTTATCAGAAACACACAAGACACTATCTTTATAATCAACAATCTTAGGACATAATTTATCTACTATAGGGACATTTAAGGTCTGCCTAATTAATGTTTAATTGTTTTGATGGCTTAAGGGTTGTAGTAATTTACCCAAATTAACTTATATTAAAATTTAATTACACTAAGACCTATAACCTGAGCACCGCATGTTCAATCATGATTATTATTTTTAGGCATGGTTGAGCATGCAGCGCTTGGTACTTGGTACTCACTCATTACCTGATAAATGTAATAATGTACGAACTTATTTAAGCAGCTAGGAAACTCTTTAATTGGCTTAGATTTAATGCTCATCAAACTAACATGAATATTGTAAAACAGCTGTTGAGTTTCTGAATAAATAAATACTTTTATGTACAATATAACATCATTCAAGTAGCTAAGTTGAAACTTGTCCAGCTTGAAGCTTACTTTGTAAGATTCAGTAAATGTTAAAACTCGAAATTGAAGCTGTGATCTTCTTTATTTGTTCAATTCATAATATAGGTACTATTTACAAATACAACTTATTAAATATCTACATATATAAATAAAAATACATGATCATAAATATTTATAAAATCGTTGGCAATATTGAGTCTGTTTTATAAATTACCTTACCATTTGGATTAGAATTTGGAGAATCAAACAGTCAAGTAATTTATAAAACATAATACAAATTAATATTTAGATAACAAGGATTTGATGGGTTACAAAGAATGGAACGAAATTCATCTTAGAAACTCCAAGAAAAAAAGAGTTTTTACTTGAAAAACAAAAACTTAGCAAATAAGTAACTGTTGCTTGTATTCAGAATCAACATAAGGTGAGATGATGTTATAGTCATGATCAATCAACAAGTGATAATGATGATGCACAATCAAAGAGTAAATAAGTATTTTTTCCATCAAGACTCCTTGTTTTATCTACACTCAATATTTTTATTAGTACCGATATCCTGAGCCGGAGTTGAAGCTGCCTTGGTGGTTAGCAGAGCTGAAACCGTTACCATTGCCTTTGCCGTTGGAATCAGGGCGGTATTTGCCTGTAAAAATCATTGTCATCAACACAGAATCCCATAATACAAAAAAGTTAACCCGGGACGAACACTGATTTAAGATGTCGTTTCCTTACATAATGTCAATTTATAGCAGAGTTCAACCAGAGTGTAACTTTTTGTAATAAGGGGGAATAAGTCTGGGTTGCATCTTACTTTAACAAACATCAAATATCTGTCAAACTCCATACAAAAACACCGGTTATCGTTACGGTCAAATTTAGTCGGTGCAACTCAGCCTAAGTCTTGCACTTTCGTCCAGCCTTTAACAAAATGTAATGTGACTCTATCATTGAAACATCTTGTTAGTCATACAAATGACAATTTAAGGCTTAGGTGCAAGTACAATGTAAAACAATTGAAAATTAAGCACATACCATCATCAAAGATGCCCGCAGCTTCATCCTTTGCATTCTGCGCCAACGCTTCAAGAATCGCCTGCGGAGTGGGTGGAGCTACCGGGAGATGGTCACCCTGGGGCCTGAAGCCTCCTTCTCCTGCAGTGAAGACGATGGTGTAGGTGTTGCCATCGTCCCCTTTGTATGAGAAACCACCCTGGGTTTGAGAGGCGTCTCCACCTTCCTCTGCCCTGATGCCGTTGGAGGTTTCGTAGCTGTAGTGGAAACCTGAAAAAATGAATAGTGTTTTTTATTGTAATATAATTACCTATCATTTAATTAAAAGGTAAGTTAAGCGAAAAAAGATAGAGCAAAATAAGTTTATAAGAATAAGTAAAATGACAAAATCCTCAGATTGAAGAGGTAAAATATAAACTTAGTATCTAGTAGTTAGTAATTATGTAGTAAAAATGTTTCTATAATTAAATGTGATATGCCTATCATTAGGGATTGTATCACTAGGGTGTATGCCAGGAATTATTTCTATAATCTTAATGAAAACTTATGAACTTTTTATCACTTTGGAGAGGGTAGAAGATTCAGTGACTCGGAAATCTATCACATCTCTCTCTCTAATGCCTTAATAAGCACTTAGGCAACTGCCTAAGTGCTTATTAAGGCGTAATCAACTGATTACGCTTACTAGAGCTTTAAAAATTGCCAGCTTACCATTGTCATTAATCTCTTGATCCTGTTTCAAGATGGCAGCATTTTTCTCAGCAGCCTGCTGCGGTCTTGTATTCCCGTTACCACCCCCGAACCCTCCATTTCCTCCTCCAAATCCCCCATTTCCCCCTCCAAATCCACCATTCCCTCCATTTCCAGGGTAACCTCCCTGTCCTTGCCCCCCTTGGGAACTAGGGAGGTAGGAGGTGGATGGGGGTCCCTGGTTTTGGGGGAGGTAGGAAGGTGAAGGCAGCTGGGCTGCTGTGGCTACTGCAATGATGGTGGTGAAGTAGATCTGAAAGATGAAAAAGAGTGACTGAAAATTTTGGTTTCTTATGTTATAACGTAGCACGGTGGGTTTCTGTAGGATGATAGATTTTAGGTAATTAAATATGTACTCGTTCTTAGATCTGGATGAAAATAATCTTATGGGTTCTAAAAATAATATAAAAATAATATACAGCAGGGTGGCTAGACAGTTGACGTTCAAAGCTTTCTTTATATCAAAGTGTATCCAAATCACCCCCATGTACAGTCAACAGCATATCAGGCTTTACATTTTTGTTGCAAAATTGCATCTATTACAATTGAATAAGACGCCACAGTGTTTACGTTGACGTGCCGTCGTCTGTACGTGTTCTACGATTTTGCTTAGTTTAATAAGTGATTGTCGGCTGTTTGGTGTAGTGGTTCAGAACGGACTACTATGCCGAGAGGTCCCGGGTTCGATTCCCGGCCGGGCAGAAATTGAAATGATGAATTTTAATTTCTGTGACGGGTCTGGGTGTGACTATGTATAATATTTATGTATTTAAAAAAAAGTATATAAGTAGTATATCCGTTAAGCTAGCACCCATAACACAAGCATTAAGTTGCTTACTTTGGGGCTAGCTGGCGCTGTGTGAAATTGTCCAAAGATTTCTTTATGTCCAAAGATTTATTTAATCTCTTACCTACGATAGACTAGACTAATCACAAAAATACTTATATCTCTATAAGTAACTTTGTGATTAGTCTAGTCTCCCGTAGGTACCTACACAAATTAATATCTACTCAAAAGTCCAAAAAGTTTAGTGATTGTAGGTTTTTAGGTCGCTTTAAGCTGTTCTCGCAAGAAGGCAAATACCTGACCCAGTTCATCTCTAAGTGCTACAATGCCAAGGGCAATGTCATCACTAAACCTTGGTCGAAGCTTTTCAAGTTTGCTTGGAGTGAAAGTTATGAACTAACTGGTTGTACCCGCTAGAAAAGTATCCGCAAACAATCTGGTTTTAGTTTGTTGCGGGTAAGTTTTACGTAGGAACATGCTTTTTCGATAGTCTGGCACTAAGTAAGTCTAAAAAAGGGTAAATCTCCAGTGGTTTAAAACCACATCATTTCAATGTAATGATTATTGGCTTTTAGTTTTTGACGAATTCGTTTGCTATGTAGGTATTCTGAATGCTTACAAATAGAGGTACTTTTCAGAATTTAGAGCTTTGAGAAAGCTCTAATAATGGAGAGAGCCAGCATGATAATCTCCAATATTAGATACCTTATTTTTGTAAGATTATGGTGAGAATAAAGATTTATTACTATTAATTTATTGTTGTCAATGCTTAGAAAATTGGTGCACTCGCTGTATGACGAAGCTTTTAAAAAGCTTACTTGTTTTTGCATGAAAATAATACTAGTGGTCAAGTTAAGCTGTGTGTGACGACAATAATATTATGGCGTAGTGGTTGAGAACCCCAGCAACTACGCCTAGAGGTCGTTGGTTCGATTTCCACATATTTTGTGTTTAACAACATGAGTCTTTTTTTAGGTCTGGGTTTTTTCTATTAGTAATTTACAAAAAAAGTTTGCGGTAAAAACCCTTAGCTAACCCTTTGCCAGATTTCCTTAGAACCTTTAATTCAGTTTATTTTCTAAGTATTATTTTACTATTTATCTACAAAAAAATTATTATCTTACCAAGTTCATGGTGTCCTATAATCCTTTCCTTTAGTCCTCAACAGAAGCTACCTTTGCACTGTGCCTTTAGGATCCATCCTAGCACTTTTATACTTAACGAAAAGGTGGAAATTATCGTTCAAAAGGATTCTCTTGATGACAGCGTTTAATTGACCAAACCTTGAGATTATTTTTGCCGACGCTCCGTTTGTGACTTTCTACGAGGTTTTTACGAGTTTTTGAAGTAAAGGACATTGTCCATTCCAAACATAGTGTACTCTATAGTGTACATATGTATGTTAGGTTACAAATTACCTACCTAACACAGCGTTTTTGCCTTTACCTTTTTTGCTCACGGACCCATTTGGATCAAAAAAGGTTAAGAAAGGCTTTGCAATGGGAAATCAAGCACAATTTTAAGGACCCCCTTAAAAAGCAGCAATACATTTCGATTACAAAACTTTTGGTGGTATTGTTAAATGATCCATGGATAAGGCTGCCTTGATTTTTAAGCTTTAAAATACTATTTAACAATTTAGAATTGCCTATGACACGCAATTTGCCGGTATTGTTGCAAAAACGTTAAAACTTGTTTCCCTATTATTCTTTGGTTTCAACAATTGACGTCACTACACCGGTAGATAAATCATACGCCCGTATTCACAAACATTACTATGAGATCTCACAGTGCGCGTGGACGCAAGGGTGACACACGAACCAATCTCAGAGCTCTATTCAACGCTGTGCGTTCGATTTGCGGCTTCACTTAAGCAAGCATCGTTTGTGAATACGGGCGTTAGTGTATAAGCCACCATAAGGACTTAAATGGTTGGCAATGGTTAGCACCAATTTGACTAACAGTATAGGTACGTGTGTTTGCTTATACTAGAAGAAGAACTATAGGTACATGCTTCAGAAACCATGTAAAGTTCTTGTTATGCACTAACTAAAGTAATAGAACCTTTATCCCAATTTTAAACTAGAGCAAAATTTTATTTCTTAGCCTAGGCGCTGACCACCGATTTTTAGTTGGCCGATAGTTAGATCGGGCTGTTGATAAATATGGAGATTTATGAAAGTGCGCACATTACACCAATTTGGCATCGGCCGATTCTTCATAAAAAATAAGAATCGGGCCCAACTTGACTTGCCCAACTTATGGTCCTATGTCCCCTAGATTGGGCAGAGGGCGTCCACAACAGTCCTCCATCTCGTTCGGTCTTGAGCTTCTCGCTTGATCTCGCTCCAGGTTTTGCCGATCTTCTTCGCCTCGTCCGCTACAGTGCGCCGCCAAGTTTGCCTGGGTCGACCACGTTTGCGTTTTCCTTGGGGATTCCAATCCAGAGCCTGCTTAGGGATGTGATCGGGGTCCCTTCGGAGAGTGTGGCCAATCCAGTTCCACTTGCGGCGCTTGATCGGGCCCAACTACGGGCCAACTAAAACTCGGTGGTCTGCGTCTAGACTTATTTCGGCAATAGAAAAGCCACAAAAAACATTAAAAAACAAGAGAAACAAAAAAAGAGGCGTGTCTTACCTCATCAGTTTCCTTCTAGTAACCTTGGCCTATCATGGCCCACATGAGGGCAGGTCAAGTTCGTATCATGTGACTACGAGCACTTAATATTTGATAGATGGTAGGGCAGCAAGAAAAAACCTCGATAAATTGTCGATTAACGAGACTTCGTTGTGAAATTTAATTGGTTTCATTAGCTTGATGAACATAATATTTTACGCAAAAAGAGCTTTTGATTAGATTGTTGATGATGACCTCCTAAGTATTTTAAGCAGATGGAGTCTTTCAAATTGCATTACCTACACTTGAAATAGTCACTTTTGCTGGCAAAACATACGAGTATAATTAATTGATAGTAGTGTGTAAAAGTCAAATCAATTCATTCCAATAATCCTTCAAGCTCCGCGAATCTAGACACAATAGATTAATCAATTGTTATGACATTAATTAATGCCGTCTGGGACTCAATCGGTAAAAGCACTTTTACATACTCTAGAATTATTTTAACTCTACCACTGCTTTGGGGCAATAAATGGGTCAGTGCTGAAAAGAAACAGTAAAAAGTTTCATGCGCTGCTTTTTCTCATCGTTCGTTCGTTCGTTCGTTCGTTTCAGCCGAAAGACGTCCACTGCTGGACAAAGGCCTCCCCCAAGGATTTCCACAAAGACTGGTCCTGCGCCGCTTGCATCCCATTCTTCTCATCACTCTGGCATAATCAAGATGACGGAGTCAGACTTTTTTTTAAAGGTGTATTAAAAACTAAAAAAAAATACTATTTGGCTCTTATTTGCTGTAGGTAGTATTATTGATTTATCGACATACAAAAAAATATCGACACTCCACCCATTACGAGTACATCGCTAAGATTCTCCGTCACGCCATATCGTAATCATAATTAACTAAAGTTTCCTCACATGTTAATTGAATTAAATTACTAGTTTTGTCGTAAAATCTGTTAGAGGTTGTTATATTGTTTTGTTTATTTTATATTCCTGTATGATCTACGTTATCGAACTATTCTGTTGACTATCTGTCGATGGTTGCCCATCTCTATTGCATTTTAAGTCTACCAAGACATTTTCGCAGATAATTTGAAATTCTTTGTCCCAATATGGCTCTATCATAGAATTTTCGAATCCAGTTCTTAAGCTAGGTGACTGACCGCAACACTTAGCAATTTAACAATTAGCGAGAATCCCAATCACAACTGTTAATGAATAAAATTGCCTTTCGTGCTGAGCCTATAAAGCTAGCGGAATCCTCAAATTAAAACCTAAAAAAGTGCAATAACCAAAATAACTTTAAGGCGAAAGAATTAACTATGGGTTCAATGTACAATTATCACCATATCTTTCTTATAAAGGTCGTACCACACTTATCAACTGGGAAAGGGATCAATACCGCACCACCTTTCGCCGCGTTGTCAACCACGAGGCGAGGTTTACGCTATGGTGCGAATAAGTGTGCTGCAACGCAATCTTATCCGCATGGTAACGTATCGTACGGAGTTTCATACAAAGAATACTGACTGCATCGAATTGATACGGTTACAATCCGTTTCCGGGTTGACAAGTGTGCTTTGTCCTTTAAACACTTAACAACGATTACAGGCAATAACAAGTTAGCACCTGAATAATAGCTGGTTCATATAAAATCAATTATTGTAATTGTATGGCAGCAATGGCGGCTATCTCCGAAAATAGAATTGTAAAGTCGATAATAATGTGTTTTTTAAATGGACATGGGTGTAATTTCGTTGTGTGAAGATTAAATAAAAATTAAGATGATGTGACTCTTGAAATTAGTAATTATGAAAACACAATGGCTTGTTTTAAGTGGGTATTATAATTGTAAAGGACTTTTATGAACATTTTAAGGCAGGGCCCATTATTTTAATTCAGAAAAGTCTTAACGTATAATTTAAAATAAATACTTCTGATTTAAATAATAATTTACTATCATAAAACTTAACTTATGAAACAAGCATTTCAGCGCTTCCTAGCAAATTACCCCAATAGCATACATCCAATTTAGTTAAAGCTTAACTCAATTTTATACTTTGATTGCGATTTCCAAACTACTGTTTTAAATCTTCTAAAATAAATAAATAAAAGAACGTAGTATTCATCACTCACATATACACACACACACACATACACACACCACACACACATACACACACCACACACATACAAACACATTCACACTAACTAATATATCCTCTCATGTATACTTGGGCTTGGCTGCGCCACCTTATTTTGACCGTAACAGTTACAATAACCGGTGCTTTTTGTATGGATTTTTGACGTTCGTGAAAATCAGGGTAGGATGGTGCAGCTCGTGCCTTGGTAATTAGTAATTTGTTTTTATTTTTATCCTTTCCCTCTTTGTATACCTAGTTATCTTAATAATTTTTATGTAACTCAGTAACCCACTTCCTGGTTGTTTAAACACTGTCCTGTGTTTTTTATTTTATTTTTTTATATTAAATCCGTTTGAGGAATCACTGACCCTGATAATACAGTTTTTTACTAGTTTCCGGGTCAGGGGTCCAAGTTATTGTGACACTAAAAATTAAAACTAACCCTAGAGTAACATAATTTTACTAATTACTTTATATAGTAAATTACTGGGTTGTTTAAGTGAATAAATATTTATTATTATTTATTATTATTATTATTAATACAAATACAAAGAAAACTCATAAAACACACGGAATGGAAAAATAATAAAACGCGGACAGCTCGCACGCGTGTCAAACTCCGCATTACAGGCAAAAGGCACTTAGTACGAAATTCACGCAGGCAAAGCTGAGTGCAAAAGTAAGCAATAGTAAGCATAATACACGAGTATCAGCAATCACTGACATTGAGGGATCAAGATCAAGTTCATCTTTATTTTACGATCAATCCGCGAACCTAGACTGATTCGCAGACAGGTGTTACTTCAAAAACTGGTTCCAAGTTAACCGTATCTAACGAATAATTGGTTTGTCTAAAATTGATTTGTTATGTGTGTAATTTGTGCTGTCGTTGAGTAAACATTTAGAGCCCCCGCAGACTATAGCCTGTATTCACAAACGATGCTTACTTAAGTGAAACAGCAAATAGAACGCACAGCGTTGAACACAGCTCTGTGATTGGTTCGTGTGTCACCCTGTGCGTTCACGTGCACTGTGAGACCTTATAGTAATGTTTGTGAATACGGGCGTAAAACTTTGTCGGTCGATAGTTTGAACTACTGGACTATTTATCAGTGACCTCTAAATAAACACTGGACAGGCTGTCTCATACAATTGACTAATTTTTTGTACCAATTTGAAGCGCCACTACAATTGTCCCGAGAATTTTGACGTAGATGGAGTAACCATATCAGTAAGCGAGAAAATTACTAATTTTAGTTCCATGGACAATCGTAACTGCCTACAGTATGGCCTACAGCGCCAAAATGGCGAAACTGAAATAGGCACAAAAATAATATGACCGCAACCAATCCAGAATGTATACAGGTCAGTAGCCATTATTATGTTACTATTTTGACGATTTGTAAGCACTATTAATTTGATAGTCCATGTAAATAAAGTAATTTTGACTATGACTTTAGGAACAAGTGTGATAGTTCGCACATTACACCGATTTGGTATCGGCCAATTCTTAATACAAATCAGCCTAGGCGCAGACCACCGACTTTTAGTCGGCCGATAGTTGGGCCCAATTTTAATTTGTATGAAGATTGATTGTAATATGCGCACTTCCACATACTCATACTGGTTAACAGCCCGACCCAACTAACGGCCAACTAAATGTAGGTGGTCTGCGCCTAGGTTTAGAAGCGAACCAAACTATTGACCAATAAAAATACCAACCAAATTGAGATCCTCCTTCTTTTTGAAGTCGGTTAAAAATTCTATAGTTTGCGGGTGCTCTTATTAATTTATGCTTCTTCAACTCAGCTTTGAGGTGTTACATAAATGTTGTGGATCATAACTTGCAGATTAAGTTTTTGTGGTCATCTCGAGCCATTTTTTGTTATTACGAGTATGATTTTGAAAAAGATGTTTATAACTCAAAAAATGGCCACTACTTCTGGTTATTGCTCTTTTTTTCTATATCTAATTATATTTTTGAATTTTTAAACTTTGCTTGTACGAATAGCCCACAATTTGCCATTGTAATTAATTATTAGGTTATAAGACTGATTGGAATGATGATTGGTTTTTAATTTCTCATTTCCTTGAAATTGATATTTCTCATTGGAAAAATCAAACATTAATATTAGTTTCTAGCGTCAGTAAGAGCTATAAAAACTTCAGTCAAGAAGATTTAATTACTGAGGTAACTTATATTTTACAAAAAATAAAATGCATATTCCAGTCATAATTTTATTTATACACTTGAGAACACATTTGTTGCATTTTCGAACACAATTTCGCTAATATCTCTACTCTTAATAGTGGTATCCGGTCTGTTCGTCGAAGGCTTGTTGAGGAATATTCTGGAAGCTAGATCCGCTAGAGCCAGTCTTGGGGGCGAGGTACTGACGGCCAGCAGCGCCAAGGGAGGCACCAGATTGCTGGCCAAAACCACCAGACTGCTGACCGAAACCACCAGACTGTTGACCGAAGGAACCAGACTGTTGACCGAAGGCGGAACCAGACTGCTGACCGAAGGAGGAACCAGAGTGCTGACCGAAGGCACCAGATTGCTGACCAAAGCCGTTGGCAGCGGAGCCGAATTTAGGGGCACCGTACTGCTGGTTGGGCTGGCTACGCTGGGAAGCGAATCCAGATCCAGCTAGAAATAAAGAAATAATTTGTTAAGTGATATTGTCTAAAAGATGATTATGGTGAAGGTCACAGGAAGCATCTGAAATCCTTGAGGAATCTTTGTCCAGCTGACATCTTTTTTGTTGAAACGAAAAGAGGGCTGTCTTTACTGACGCGTCATTTTTACTTCAGCGAACTTTGAACTAAAAGCTTGATTTATGAACGTAAATTATTAGTATAATTAAATCTCAATTTGTCTGTTATATTTTTATTAAAAAAGTTACCAATGACTCAGCATTACGTGATACTGATACGGATACTCTACTTTTTGCGTTTGCAAAAAAAGTTATTGGCAAAATCTTTTTATGTTCTCCTGTAATTTGTCCATCGTAAATTAAACTGCTCATCATGTTAAAAACTCATCAATAAATCTTGTGTATTGATTAGCAGACGGCTTATTGTTGTCGGTCACAAAAAATGCTAAATGTTCGTTAAGCACTTGGGTGGTTACTATCCAAGCTTTTTCAACTTGTGCAGTAGATAATGGAGATACAATATAGTAAATCCTCTGTACACCAAATACGCACCAGTAAGATAAATCAAGAAAAAAAAAACTAAAAAATGATGTCGAACATGAATCTTCCAATTTCTTGTAAAGCCATCGAGTTAAAGGTATTTGACTTAATGTTCCGTAAAACAGTTTGAGATTCTGTTATCATAGAATTCACCCTTTTAAGTTCTTTGGTAAGGTCACAGTTCCAAAATTTTTTACGCCCTTTTAAGTTTTATGGTAAGGTCTTAGTTCCAAAAGGCGGTTTTACACTTAATCTCCGATTGAAAAATACTAAAGTGCTCTTTAGGAACATCTATAACAAGACCGATTTAAACACACTAAAATGGTGAATGGTGGCGTAGAAGGAGCCTTCTCCTATTATATTTCATTATGATGATAAGATCTTGAGCATTGTTTGGGACCATGACACAGATTACCTCCAATTACACTTGTCAAAACATCATGTTGACAAGCCTAATTTGACAACCTCGGCGACGTTACAGTTTGGATTACATGTAATTTGCAAAAAGTAGATAAGATAATCGGGTGATGTGCGACATGGACTTGGAAGTTAGAGGTCACAAGTTTGAATCCAATTTGGACAATTTGTAATGAGCACGAGATTCAGTTTGATGCTAAGCTTGATATCTTTGATATTATTTTTTTAATAGTTACTTTGCTGACCAAATAAAATGTTCATTATTGAACAACACCGTTTAAGATATTGTATGCTCTGTTTCTCCTTTTAAGGTTTATTTTATCCCTTTTTTCTGAATAATGGGACAAAGTGGAGCTTACCCTGGGACTGAGAGCCCAATCCACCGAAAGAACCAGATCCTGAAGAGTGGTCGTGGTCAGGGGGCAGGTACTGGTTGATGGTGGCAGCGCCGAAGGCACCAGACGCGCCAGAGTGGAAGCCAGATTTGGCAGAGGCCGAGCCGAAACCGTTTGAGCCACTAGCACCGAAGCCTGTGAAAATTTTACATAGTAGAGACAAATATTAACAGTGTTATTCCACAAAAAATGCTCAAGGGCTTTCGAAATAAGATTTTTTTTCTGACAAAGCAACTAGCTAAATCAACATTGACCCATGTATCATCTTCATCACTATCAATAATAATAAGCAATATATTAGTCTCAAAGAATCCAATATTATAGACGCATTTCGAACAAAATTTAATTGAAGCTTAACTCCAGATTAAGGACAAACCGTTAGATCCACTGCCACCGAATCCACTTGATCCACTGCCACCGAATCCACTTGAGCCGCTTCCACCGAAACCGCTGGAGCCACTAGATCCAAAGCCAGAGCTACCTCTGGCTCCGAAACCCTGGCTTCCAGCCTGATCAGGAGGGAGGTAGCCACGCTCCAGGTGTTCCAAGCGAGCGGCGGCGCTCACGGCGATAAGACCGGCAATGATGAACTGGATAAAAGAAGATTCAAAATTAGAGTGTTGAAGACAAGTAATGTTGGGAAAACACACCTCTTTCATTTGTTTGTCAAAGTCACTTCTAAAACACTAGAAAAATTGGAAAAAATGGATGATATTTTGATGAATACTTTTAAGAATATTTTATTTTTAAACATCTTATTGAATCCTGACATATCTCGACTGGAGAATTTGTTAATTTGGACAAAGACGTCATAAAAATGTAATTATGAATGAACGAAATCAATCAACACACTTTGAAAAATTAATCAACGTCTGAATTCGAAAATTTTTAAATCAAGGTCTAGATCATCCGCCAATTCTAGACCAAAAACACAAAACCGAACTCAATGTCCAACCCCCAAGCTCCAAATCACATTACCAGTTTCATGTTTAATAATAGGCTCGGACTGCAACTTGAAACTACCAAATGTGAAGCTCACCACAAACTGTGATGATCCGACTCGATTTGACCCATTATATACTATCTGAGACGATCCTAATCCTGTACAGCTCACGCATATTATGACGTAATGCTTTATGGAATATAATAAACGAGAATTTTAAAGATATGCATGGCCAGTTAATTATTTAGCCATAGTTTTTTAGCTACCGAACGTGGATTGACCTCGACTGTCAAAGAAGAGCAATGAACAACCCAAGGTTTGTAATTAATAATGGATCAAACAAATTGAACTTGCAACGAAAGCTAGACTCGTATTGTCTGGATGATTAGGTGCATTCATGATTTAGTGCATTGGCTAATGGAGTTCTCTGGCCGTTCGTTTGTCTATCTGTGTTTCTAGTCCTTGTATATTTTTAATTTGTTGAAATCTTCAGTGGTTTAAGCTTTATAACGTTACAAACTGCTGGCAGCTTTGCGCGGGAAAACTCTCTCGGAAGCGGAAAATCTGAACCGCGCTTTATGTGATAAAGCTCCTGAAAGCTTATGGAAAGGAATGGACAGATGTTTAACTTGAAAAATAAAAGCTTTTCACACAAACTATCATCCCCTTTTAGAATTTCAGTCCCCTTTGAGATTTATTTTGCGCCCTATGTAAATATTTTATAACTTATTCCTAGGTCCCATCTCTAAAACTCTATCCAAAACTTGACAACACTAAAATGTTTCAGTAAATAATGTGTGAAAACATAATATACAGACAAACATTTGCATTTTGTATATGTATTAAGCAGTGTACATTGATTTGTTTCAAGAAATTAATTAATATCATGCAAACATTAAATTGTTACGGATGTCCATACGAACTTTAATGAGTCAGATTATTATAGAAGTTATATTATTAAGACACGGTTCCATTAAGATGCAGCGTTTAATTAAAAATAATTAGGTCTATAAGGATTTAGTTTAATTAAAAGCTTTAAATGTAAACGTAGACGATTTCAGCGACCATTTTAGTCGCTTCTAAATTTATAAATTTAGACTCGAATGTGTATCATTTCGATCCGTAAATAGAAGTCAATTAAACCCTTTGTGAGCCTATAATGATTGATTACTTTGATGATTGATGATTGACGTATAATCAGAAAAATTGTAAGATATTTTTATTATTCTTAATTCAAAATTTCATTAAGTTTGTCGAGTATGTACTATTTATTTTTTTAATAATTTGTCGATAAAGTTTATTTTTTCTTTGAGTAAACTTTACGCCGTAGACAGCGCATCAGGCTGTATAGGTACACCTACATTCTCGAAAATCTATCCTTAAATTCTAAATCCCTATAAAGTTCTTCTGATTTATCTTCGTTGCGGATATAATGACTGTTAACTTTGCCCCGGGACAAACTTGACTTTCATTGGTAGGGCTTTTATTGGACCCTGCAGACCCTGGTTACACAGGAGTTGCAGCGGTGGGAACGAGATGTGGGAAAACTCCCTATACCTACATTTTCCCTTTGCCCAATAGTGGACGTCTTTCGGTTGTAATGTAATTTTGATTATGTGATAGACCAAAAACCGAGTGGTTGAAGTCATCACCAGAAGCTCGTATTTAGCATGAGTCAGTAAATACAAGTGGCAAATCAAGTTTAACACTGAGGCATTTAATCTAGTAGTAAATAGTATCTATTTTCCAACAAAAATGTAGAGTCTGACCTGCCAGACTGTATGCTGATTGACTTTCAAAAATTAGCAAAAAACTGATGAAACAAGTTGGACTTCGTGAAGACATACAAAAAAGGTATAATGTCTGTTTTGATTTCACTTAGCAACATATAGCCCATTAATAAATAATTGCAAAGATGGAGTCATCAATTTTTCGGACCCGCTTCACCAATTTATAATTATCAGATAGCTAATTTTAACAGCTAGATGACTATCATAGGTTTCAGGAACGCAAAAATACTACCAACTCCAATTTACCAGAGGAAAATGGACGATTTGGCGTATTCTTCCCACACTAGCTAGACGGATTGAGGCATCAAGCATCATCATCATCAGTTCGCATATTTCTCCCTTTCTCCCTCTTACGTCATTCACGGGATAAGTGTTGGTGGTCTTAACCTACTCTTCAGGATCCACACGTCTAAAGAACTTTCAACAGAAAGAACTTAAACATTCTTCCAGGAAGATAAAAATTAATAAATTCTATCAAGTTGCGGAAACGAACATAGTTTTACAACATTCTTTCACGAGCGTAGCTAGACACCAAGTAACAAAACAGCTGATAAAATAAAGACAATTATACCACAATCAGGTGTCAATTTATCATTTTATCTTGACTAAATCACCACAATGAGAATGTAACGACAAGTCACCTATTTCCCGCGCTAACAAACGAGATCTTTCAAAATGTCCACGAGGAGTCGCTGCAATGGCTTTGCATAGATGCAATCAGTGCAGTGAGAATGCACCCGAGTGAATACAGACGGCAGTACATCTAGGACCATATGTAGTTGGAAGAGAAGCTATTTTGCAACGAAAGTCTCAGGTGTTATTATATCCATATTAACTATGTTATCTCTGTTAATAATAATGAGCAAAACTAAAAATAGAAGCGGTCACATGAAGTTTGCGATGTGTTTGAATTATTTCAATAATCATTGGAGACAGTATGACTATCTTGACACGGAGTTCCTATGATTGGTTTTCAGGTGTGACAAACACAACAACAGTGTGCTTACCATGAGTTTACGTTAGGTGTGCTCGCTAGCGACTACGTAAAAAAATGAAATAAAGTGTATGACATAGGGGAGAGTTCGGTATATTGTACCGCCGGGTAAATTGTACCACCCTCATATTTCGTAAAGTATTTATTGTATGTCTGTAATTGCAACACTCAGCGATACACAACTAAATTCAATTAATATCGGCCATAATTATGGTTTTTGCCGTGACAATGAACACGTGTGTTTTATTTAGAAAAGTATTTTTTCATTGTTTTCAAGTAACTTTTGACAATGCATGTTTAGTTTGTAATTTTGTTAAATTTAATCACAGGCTGTTTCTAATATATTATTTAGAAGCGTAAATTAGTGTGGATTACAATTATTTGAAACATTTTTCGGTATTTATAAGTTATATTTTTTTTATAGATTTTTTAAAAGCACTATCACCTAGTCGGCTAAATTGTACCACATCAAGTTGTATGGAACTTTACCAAAGGATTTTGATTTTTTTTTTAGTAAATCATATTTTAAAGTTATAATAGCGTAGTTATGTTTGACTAACAATAAATGAAAGCAAAATACTGGCAAAGTAGATTAGGTACAAGAGTGCGTTACAATAATTGTAATTACAAAACTTTTACTCAAAAACCGACTCCAAAAAACATACACTAAAAAGTAGAAAAATAATTACTAATTACATATTTATTAGGACGAATTAATATTTATGTATACCATGATTGATACTTTTGGAGTCGGTGCCAAGATTATGAAACGTGTGAAGTTTGCCTGCACCGACTCCAAAAGTATCAATCATGGTATACATAAATATTAATTCGTCCTAATAAATATGTAATTAGTAATTATTTTTCTACTTTTTAGTGTATGTTTTTTGGAGTCGGTTTTATTTTTTTTTATAAAAATTAACTTATTTCTTGCTTTTTAGTTAACTTATTATTATACCACGTATTACCACTGAAGGTAAGCAGTACATTGAGACTATATTCTTCATGTCAAGTGTAAAATAATATTCCCTACAAAATACAGGTTACCATATCGGTAACCTAAAAAGACCTTAAACCGTCAGCCCACCTTAAAAACATGAAAAAATACAACTGTTGGTCTATTTGTACCTATAATATTTAAAGAATTATCCTCCAACTCCTAAGCGTTAAGGAGTTGTACGTACCATGACCAGTTCATCATGATGAGATGATGACTATCTAATGCTAATATTTGAATAACTTTAGAAACTATACTTATCTATAAAATTAAAAGAATTATCCTCCAACTCCTAAACATTAAAGAGTTTTACCTTCTATCATCAGCTCATCAATATGATATGATGATTTCCAGGAGCAAATACTTGAATAACTTAAGAAAACGTTTGAAAAACGATATACGTCCCTATAAAATTTGGGAGTTGCCCTCGATTTCCCTAGGATCCCATCATCAGATCCTGACTTGGTGACAATGGGACCACCTCAGAAGTGTACCCTATCAAACAAAAAAAGAATTTTGAAAATCGGTCCACAATTGACGGAGTAATCGGTGAACATACATAGAAAAAAAAGTCCTCCTTTTTTGAAGTCGGTTAAAAATCGTGATAACGTGTAAACAATATCGATTGTCTATGTTATTTACTATTGTTCCTTTTCGTTACCTAATTTGTTAAGAATGTATCGTATACTATTTTGCCATAGTTTTTTTATAGGCTTGAAATTTATAGAAATCCAATTTAGTAACCCTGTGGTACAAATTATCGAACCGGTTGGCTAAATTGGACCGAAGTTCTGAACTCGTATTTTGTTTAATTGTGCTAAATCTACAACAATTATATTGATCAATACCTATAAAATAGTAAGTTGAATAATTTCTCTTTAACTATATACCATGAACATTAGCAAAAACAAAAGAAAACTATGTGAAAAATGGGATTGAAAAAAACTGGTCCAAATTACCGGACTCTCCCTTATTATGCAGCGCCTCTAGCGGCTACTTTCAAGAAATAAAATCTTCATAGAGTTTTTTGACGTATTTGCTAGCGAGCACACCTAACGTAAACTCATGGTAGGCACACAGATAAGCTATGGATGTAAGTACGTACGTACGCTGATTTTCAGTGGGTACAATGTTGATAGAGTGAGAGTCATACAGTAAAAATACTTAAGTAGATGAGGGATGTGCAGTTGGGAAACATGGGCGGGTTCCCTTTTATTCTAAACCAGTCGAATATTGTATTTTTCCGTACTTTGGTAGTATACTTTACCGATTGGCAGCACTGCTTATCCATAGAGTGGCTGCCATTTTTATCAGTCACATTTACAGATTACAGACGC